GGGGAGGGGCAATCCTGAGTCTGGATTCAGTTAAAAAAAAAAAAAGAGTAGTGACGTGTGCTAGGGGCATGAGATGGGGAGAGAACAGTGGCAGTGTCCTGTAGGGCTAGGTCAAAAGCCCCTGGAGTGGGTCAGTCTGTCTGTCCTTCCCTCCACATTCCTTTCTACTGCTTTTTAAACCAAAGATCTGGCTGCCTAATTGGAACTAATTAAATGGTTAGGGTCTAGATGCCTCTACAACCTCTCCCCCGTTGTGGTTAGCACCTGGAGTGAGGTATCACTACCAAGCAGAACAGACACTTTCACATCTTTCACTCCAGGGTTTGCTCAGAACCGCAGCCTGTTTCCAGAATGTCCTACATTCGGTCTAAAACCAGCCTTCCCTGTGGTATCCAGTTGTCTGCTTCCATCAGACAAGAGAGGTCCTCGCCTCCCTCAGGGATTCAAACAGAACCTTGTTCCCACAAGGCAGGCCCCGAGACCTGTTCTATGATTTTCAGGGTTCAGAGTGGCTCTTTAGAGCTGCTGCAGTCAGGGCAAGATGTCCTCTTGGTGGCCTCTCTCCTGTTCCCTCCCCGCCCCAGGCAGAGCAGGCAGGATCCCATTTCCAGGCCATGTGACTCCTGGGTAAGGCTAGTTGTTTCCATTACACCTCAGATCTTGACTACTTCAGACCCTCCTAGCATGAAGGTGCCACCCTGGACATGGTATGTCCCTCGGCAGGGGGTCTGGACACTTGGTGTCTGCGCTAGAACTCAGTTGACAAACTGAGAAGCAGCTTTGCCTTTCTGGTGCAACCAGAAGCGAGTCTACTGTCAAACACATCGTGTGCTTGTTGCAGTGCCAAGCGCCTGTTCCACACCCATGCCTTGTGTGGCTGGAAGCTCCACCCGCCTCCAAACTACTCCCAGTGCCATCAGCAGGCAGGGCCCAACAAACGATCTTCAGGTACCAAAAAAAGCAAGAGGGCAGATGGACTGTCCTGAAAACATCCTGTGGGAACACCAGCGACACCATGTAACCCTGGCCCTTCAACCCTTCCAGAACCTTCCCAAGTCTTCTGAGCAGCCACGGGGTAAGGTCGCGATGCCACGCTGCAAATGTTGACACAGGAGGTGGCTTGCTACGTCTCCTTCTACAGGATGTACTCCCTTCCAATCAGTTTATACTTCGCCCTCCAGTGCCAGCTCAGGTGCAGGGTTGGGACAAAAAAGCCAGTGGGGATGAATCCTCAAGTGCAGCAAAGGACACAAGTAGCGGTGTGGCACCAGCAGCAGCCTGTTTGGGTGGTTTGGGGCCAGGTATCAGCTGGCTGCTGTCAGCCAAAAGCAGGGGTCCCAGAGGGTTTCCAAACACTGAAGGCAGCAGCTCCACTTCTGGCCTTTGAGGCACTACCACTATCTCAAAGGCGTGCTGAGGGGCTGTAGTCCATCTTCTTCCCCGTGTCAGCCATTCCGCGACATCTGTGGGGCACATACGAAGACACGCAGAGCAACTTCAGTTTTTGATGAGCAACTCATGAGCTCTAAAACACGTAACAGCTGCCGATTCACACTGGAAAAAAATCTAGGCTCAAAAAGTAACTCTTTTCCTCAGGGCTAAACGCTACATAACACAAAAATAAAGATTTCCAATGTAAATTTTACTATTTTATTTGTGAAAAAACTACAAGCAGAATTCATAAATAGACATTTCTATTTAAAGCAGGAAATGATAAAGTGGCTTCTAATAACATAGTCGTGCACATGCCAGTAACAGGAATATATTAACATCTTTTATTTGCTAGACAAAGAGCAGTGTCCAATATAAATTTCCCCCAAAACATTAAAGACCTGTGAATTTCTGACCAGTTCACAAAACCACCAACTGACACTTTAGCATGAAGAGAAAACAGACCTAACAGACCGTCAGCGCTAAAGACGTTACTGAGCAGAAACTTCCAAAAGCGTTATACAAGCTGTCTTTCTGGGCAAATGGAAAATAGAGCTCGTATAATACATTAACAAAAATTCACAAGATAAGATTATGTTTTGACATACTTAACAAGCATTCTCTATTTGTCTCCAACAAACAAAGCTAAGGAAATAATGTAACCATCTTTACACAGTAAATTAAGGTTACAAGTCATACACAAGAACAGAACTGCTTGCGCATTAAAAACTGTTCAGCTCCAATGTCAAACTCTAAATGTTGGCTCTTAAACCATTTTCGGTTACATACAAGCAAAGGTTATTATATATTCAGCAATTAATAAATTTTCAATAATTTAAGATATGGTAGCTTAAAATAGTAGACTGAGAATGGTCTTGATAAGGCAGGTGAAACGTCATAGTGGAACTAAACTCACAGAAGCTTCTGCCAATGTTTTTAAATATTCAGATTTGAAATAAAGGTTTTGAGTAAAATATTTTGTGGGTGTCAACATGTCTTTACCTTTTTTTTCCAACTGCGAGTCAAGCAGAGCAAGCCAGGTAAGCTGTGTGTGCATGCGCACACGAGCGTCAAAGATCGTGAGAAAACAAATGGAAACTTGCAAGCGTAACACTGTGCTTTTGGTTTTTGTTTCTTAATCTGTTCTGTGCCACTGAATACCAAGTATTTCTGGTCCTCTTTTCATATATATATATTATTTATAAGCTACACTAGTGTTTTTACGCACTGCCTACAAATTGTAGGGCAAACTGCAAATGCAGGAAGTTGGAGGAATTCCATTTCCAGAATCCAGGCCCAGAGGTGCCACCGATTGCGGAGATCAAAAGCCTGAAGTACCTACCACTTCTCTATCCTACGGAACAAACAACACAGCTAAAGGGCTGGTCCTGTAACATGTGATTGCGCAAAAAACCCGCTGTTACCTGCAGTTTCTGCTCAAAGGGCAAATTCATCCCACTTGTTCTAAAGCAATCCTCTCCTTCCTTTTCCCTCTCCCCATTCTTGAATTATCACGGAGGCAAAACTGAAATACTGAGACCCTGGCAATGAATGAATTAGCAGCCTGAGTAGCTGGTTCATCAGCCTTTTCCACTAATCTAGGGGGTCCAATCACTTTACATGAAACTAATTTTGAGAAAGTACAGTGTTTCTGAACAAAGTGCATACCAACACTTACTGGTTCGAATAGCAGTGCAACCCACAGGAGTTTGGTGGCATTTAAATTTTTTTTTTTTAAAAAAGTTAATTAAAAAACTTAGCAATTCCTTACACCTCTGGAAAATAAATATGGCTGACTAATTTACCCTCCCTGAGACCCTTAATAAAGGAATATTAAAACTTTAGAAGGAATGTCTTTGCAATACCCCACTAATATTAAAATGTGGATTTAAAATTCATAGTCAAATCACTATGTATTATATATTCTGATGCTTATAGAAAGCATCTAATTTCCTTTGGTTCATTAATAAATACTTTAAAAAGGTATTTAAAAAGATAAGCACAGCTTGAATCCCAGATACAAGCATTATTTTAAAAAGAGGGGAACATTGTCCATGCATTTGAGAATAGGATCACAGCAACGAATGGCACTGCTTTGTTGTCTATACCTTTGAGAACAGAATTTAAAGTATGGTACATTGGTGACTGTAGAATAGTTTTAATGTAAATGTGAAAGGAACCTTTCCTATTGGCTACTCAATTCAAGCTGTTAATTGTTTTTAACTTGTTGCCTCCACAGACAGAAACTAGTTACTGAACAAACCAGGTTCTTAACACCAAAACATGGTGCTTCACTGCATTATCTGCCCTCCGTGGGTCCTTAAAGTATGATCAACTAAAGGAAGGTTAGCGTCAAGTTCTTATGCTTGAAATGACCGTGAAGTTCTATAAACTCAGTGGGTATGAAGGTGAAAGTCAAAGAGAAAAAGAGACCCCAAAGTGAAATAAAAGCAAAGCAAACTTTAAAAGGAGGAAGGGTGAAATCGTATTAGTGGTCTGTGGTTTTCAGTTTTCTCAAGCTGTCTGTCGAGGAAGACAAAGATCACGTCCGCTCTCCTAGTAAAGTACGAGCTTCCCCGAAACTTGGCCATTCACCATTGGTGTCTTTTCCCACAGCAAGGAACTGAGAAAGTCTCCAAGCACTGAAGAGCTCCATGTCGGGATAGGATATGTGGTTGAAACCTTTGCTAAAATGAACCAGAGCAGGTATTAAGAAAGAAAAATGGAGAATTCTCACAACTGACAGACATGAAGCAAACAAATTCCAATTACAAAAACTACCATTGCAATGTCCTGTGGAAAGTCAAAAACAAGGGATAGTATGGACCAAAAATGCAGTTTTAGATTGTTTCAACCCTACAACTCAGAGAGAATTTCTAGATTTACCTCAGACAAGAGTAGAGGTCTGGAAAATGGATGGAATTCGAGTTACAGAACATCATATTTTCATGAGTGCTTATGTAAGAACAGCAATGTTAACATGTAACCGTAATTTACACAAATACTTGGCATTCTGGAGCTAGTTTAGTTACTTCTGAATGATCAAAGCCCTCCCCAACTAAACCACTTGTGATTTGTCAGTTATCCCATTGCAAATACGGGCTATCTAGAGCAGTCTTTAAATTTGAGATCACATTGTTTAAAAAATATATATTTTTATATTGTCCAGTACTCTTTAGACAGATGAGAGAGTCAGTTCCCACATGGGTTGGAACATACTTCATGTAAGACTGATTTTAACTCAATTTCAGCACTTTCATAGAAGGGACTGTCCCAGATCTGTAACTGTTCAATGTTGTATTCACTTCACAGTGTATCAAGCACCAGCGTTGCCATGGATTGGTTTCAAATAACCCTTTATATATAATTTTATATTTATATATATAGTTATATCAAAACTGATAGTACATAGTATAACTGGAAGAAAGAACTAAACTCAAGAGGATATGCTGAAAAGATGGAGTTTGTGAACACAATAAATAAAAGTTCCCTCCCCTCCCAACCCCCAACAAAACAAAAAACCAGTTGTAATGTACATGGAAAATTGTGCACAGCAGATTTCTTTTTTATATAAAAAGTAGATTCAGGAGCACATCCAATTATAAATGATTGTTAGGAAAATCATATAAAACAATGGAATACATAAAAGTGTCAAGAGTAATTGTCAGGGTGCGAAATTCCTTGGTGGCCAGATGCCCACGACAAGCAGAAACCATCCTGGCATCATCACTAAGGTCGACGTCCACAGGAGACTCTCCAGGGAGTGAGCAGCATGGGCAGATGGAGAATTTGAATTTCATACCCTGATTCATAGTTTTCACAATTCCATGTGCAATTTCAGAAAGATTCATCATTTACTGCTGACATGTCGCCCTTTGGCGTGGAGGACCGGGAGGAGCCCTTGTCTGTGCTCTCTGACCCCGAGCTGCTCTGGTTCTGCTGTTCTGACCCTGCACTGGAGGTCACTGTGGACGAAGATGTTGAGGAGGAGCGAGTCTTTTCCTTAAAGTCTGTGATAATGACTGTGACATTGCCCACTGTTACTGCCAACTGCTGTGCGGTGCTCCTGTCCACGTTTTTCAGCCGGGGCCTGAAACATTGAGGAAGACAGCAAATTAAGTAAGCAATACCATCAATACACACCAAACTTCATGACACTGTGGTCCTGAGTGGCACATTCATGAACCTCAATCCCTTTCCATCCACACATAGCTGCCTACAAAGTGGGCCGAGCAACTTCGGCAATGATGCAAATGGACCGTGGCAGAATTTGGCCACAATGAGAAAACAACAGCAGCCACAGCCCTAGCTCTTCCCTCCACCTCCCTCAGCCTCAAATCCACAGGAATGCAGTGGCCCTGTGCTCCCGATTATGTTAGGCAACTTAGAACAGCATTTAGTATTCCATTCTAGTTCTCAGGTACCTTGAGGTGTGATTCGTCTCACTGGTCTTTGTTGTAGCATTTGCAGACTGTATACTGTTAGCTTCGCTAGGAGGATCTTTTAGAATATCAGACTTTGGTCTAAAGAGGGGGAATACAAAAAAATCCACTTAAAATCTGATTCCCATGCAAAGCAATACACTGTGCTTAGCTGCTCAGGAACTTACTTTGTTTTCTTGTTGGTATTTTTCTTGGTAACACTAGGACTGATTTCCTTGTCCTTCTCCGGTTTCTCTCTGTCTTGTTTCTCAGCTCTCTCCTTCTTCTCCTTCTTAGGGGGCGGTGGCGTGGCGTACTGCTGTGCCACCTGCTGTGCCACCAGCTGAGAATTGATCCGAGGTTTCCTGAGATGTTCAACAAAAGATACATCATTAGCTGCTTTACCAACATTTTATTTGATCTCTTAATGTCTTAGGCGATTTACTGTGATAATGTGTGCATATATACACATACTTTTTTTTGGTGTTGTGCTGGACATGAAATCCACAGCCTTGCACATGCTAAGGAAGCACTCTACTCATCCTCGGAATTCAAAACTAAATTACACAGCGTTACTTGTGTGTTATTTCAATGTTGTACAGACAGGTCCACAGAATCTTTCCTTCCTCACTAGTGCTAACACAAACCCGGGCTGCCCCGTACGGCCATCAAACACGACAGAATTTGTAGGAACGCTGAGAACACTTCTTTTGAGTTGTCAAGATTTTACTGACAGCTTTCAAATACTTCTGCTGCAGAGGGTTAATCTCATTTTATTAAATGGACACTGGTAATCCCTTGAAAAGAAAATGAAATTAGAAGTGTGACATTCACTCCTCAATCTAATTATTCCGACTCAATCTGCTCCCCTGCAGCTCTGTGATTGGCACAGACGACACACATAGAGCAATAAAAGGTAACTGAGATTCACACTAGCTCCCAAGGGGGTGAAGACTGAGAGTCACTGAAAAACCTTAGACAAGTGATACATTCACAGTGCCACCAACCATTATGCCTGCGCCAATCTCTAACTGACACTGGCTCTTAGCACTATTGTGCACAGATCCTAAGTGGTGCCCTTTCACAATACACAATCATTCACAGATCAACTGAAAAGGGGAAGGGGGGTGCTTATGCATGGCTTCTATGGACAGTAGCCCCTCCAGAACCCCCAGTACACAGGTGGAACCAAGGATAGTACAGAACCTGAACAAAAGCACTGCAACTGTGCCAGATCTGGCACTGGGTCAGCTCCTATGCGATTACAGGTCAAGTAGCTCATATTGTGTGGGAATGCTGGACAAAGGGATGATTTGTGCCCAGGTCAGGACGAAATGAGAGGTTGCAGACTTTCATCCACTACTCAAAAAAGTGCACAATTTAAAACTCTTGAATTGCTTATTTCTGCAATTTTCCACTTAAATATTTTTTTTTTTACCATGGCTGACTGTGGGTAACTTAAAGTGGAACCTCGGACAATAGCACTGCTGTAATACTAATTTTCAAAGCTACCCCATCTAGACATTTGCAATAGGATAGGCTCTCCAAGCACAAAATGGGAAATAAATATCCACGCAGGTCCTTACTGAGGTGGAGCAACTAGTGCCACAATGCAATGTTTACCCTGAATTCTTCCCTCTTCATTCCCCAGGATGGATGAGCTGACCAGAGAAAAAGAACTGAACAGAGTAGGTCTGACTCATCAATGGGAGAACCATGGAGAAGAGGGAATAAACTGAGCCTAAGGCCTTGGCCCAGAGCGCCTCAGCTCTGTGTGAAAGGTATTGTCTTTTCAGTTTCTAGAAAGGAAGCAGCGCTACTCTACCACACTGCAAAGAGGAAATATGGCTCATCATGTCAACACAAAATAGTAAATGACCACTATGAAACACTGTAATTTCATAAAGATCCATCAGGAATACAAGCAAATGAGCTGTGTACAGGGATTACCAAGCAGTATGAAGAATTAAAGCAAACTGCTATACTCTAACCGACACTCAGATGTTAGTAAGAAGTAATGTAGTCAGAGTTAGTATGTAAGAGACTGGCCCCAAGAATGCCCAGCACAGGTGCCAGGCCCACCCATCTGAGTTTGAAGGCCTGCCTCACTCCAGGCCACACGGCTAAGTTTTACAATTCTACTTACCATGTTACCCTGTACTTCTCAATGGCAAGGACCACACGCTCATCTTTGTAATCATGGCACTCAGTACACTGCCAGGCACTCAGTAAAATGAGTAGTTAAATGAACATTACAGAGAAAGACAAAGGAGGATGTAGACTGAGGAGAAGGTTTATGCTCTGGTGATCAAGAAGCCACTGATAACTTTTAGGGGATCTGGTCTTACAGGACGAGGGTAGCAAAAATGAAGGGACTGAAGACTGTTGGGAACGGCACAGAGGTACCATACCAACAGTAGCTTGTTTTGGAAACTGTGGTACTGTGGAGAAAGGGAGGGTTCTAGTCACTGTGAGAAGGGTAAACAAGCTTTGAGAAGGCTGAACTCAGGGGGCAGGAGAGAAAGAACACAATCAAGGAACATCCTGGGGAAAGGAAGGAGCACTTTCTACAGAGATGAGAGGGATACTAGGTAACTTGACATTTTTACTTGGAAGACGTCAATCTGAGGAGGTTCTCTCTTACCTGTTTTCTTCCTAGGAAGGTACTGATAAGACAGAGCTAGGGTGGCAAATGCAGGCAGAATTTGGAAATGAGAAACTGGAGAAGAGATGGAGATCAGAAGAGATGTGGACTTTAGTGCACAGCATGCTCTGACGGTCTCATGGAAGGGAGAGCCAGAGGTGGACAGAGACAAAAGGGAGCTGCTCTATCTTACAAATTACCCTTAATGGCCTATGTGTTATGTGCCTAACAGCAGCAGCTCCCAGTTTGGGGCTCTTCCTTATCCAGAATGGGTCATTCCTGACAAGGACAGCTTACAAAGCTACCACAGGTTGCAGTCAAAGGTAAGTTGTCTGATCAAATGTTTCTGCCAGTGGTGGCCATCCAACACATCAGCAAGTATGCTCAATAGGACACATTATCTACAGGGCAAAACCTACACATGTAAAAAGTGGTAACTCTTAATATGCACTTTTGAGCACATCCATGCAAATATCTCCTTTGCCCCAAAAACAACGTTTGACAGAGTTGTGAAGTGTTCCTCCCTCCATTATACAAGAAGTCAAAATTCCATGAATATGTTGTTTTAAAAGTACTGCTATGCTCTGTTGTACGGATGTCCCTAAGTGATGACTAAATTGTAAGCCATCACACTCCTCCCTTCCCCATCAAAAACCCTTCAACAGCAGGTGGCCTGTTTATTTTTTCCTCCCAGTACCATGGTTTAGGTTTAAACTCAGGGCCTACAACTTGAGCCACTCCACCAGTCTTTTTTTGTGATGAGTTTTTTCCAGATAGGGTCTCCCAGAACTGTTTGCCCAGGCTGACCTTGAACCTCGATCCTCTTGATCAGCTAGGATTACAGGCGTGAGCCACTGGCTCCTGGCATGTGACCATTTCTTACTTTAATCAGTACAATTGTGTTTTTACAAACTAGATCTTAACAGTGTCACAGTGTTTCTGGTGTCAGGAAGCAATTTCATGAGCTAAGGAAACTCACCTTTTTGGAAGAAGAAAAAAAAGTAAAAGGGCAGCCAGTTAACTCCCTGTGAAAATCACTGTGGTGCATGTACCACCTGTCCTCTCCAGGCTGTACAGGTTGTAGACATGACTAGCCTCCACTGAGAGGCCACACATACTGCTTGAAGCAGAAGACAGACCCATCTCAAAGCCATCAGTGGACAGGTACTCCATAGAGTGATCTAGCCCAACGCCACCTTGAGAAGAAATTGTTGTCGCCACTTTACAAATTAAGAAAACTAAGAATCAGAATAATAAAGAAGCCTGCTCAAGGCTCACCCTTATGTGGCACAGCCGGGAGGCTCCTCTTTGAAGGTTTCTTAAACTGGTCTTCATATCTTTGAAGACTCGGGTGGGGTGGGAGTGGAGGTGGAGGTGGTGGTGGTGGTGTGTGTGTATAAGGTACTAGGGATGAAAAACTCAGGTCAACCCAGTTTAGCTACACACCTCACTATGCAGCCCACAGGCAGGAAAGAAGAGGACTAGTTGGTTGTCTTTAATGGAAGAGAAAAGGGTATGGGGAGTTAGCAGGAATGTTTTCCATTGCCCTTCTGATCAGTGAGAAATACTCACTTCCCACAAATTTACAATGCTTAACGAAGCCTTCTAAGGGACATACAACATACTGTGAGCTGCTCTTATTTAAACAGGCAGAATGCAACATGTCCTAGAGTAAATTCTTCAATCTCAAACTGCAAGTCTGAGTATCTAAGATTCCCAACAAACTTTAAACTTGAAGCACTTAACAGCCTTCACAATACATTGAGAAGTCTCAAGTCAAAGCATGTGATTTAGAGCTTTTGGTATTCAAGCATCACATTAAAAACAACCAACCATATACCACCCCTCCCCAATCAACCCCCCAAACTACTTGACCAGAGCTATATAATTACAGAATGCCACGTTTCCCACAGGAGTATGGTATCAAACAAATTTCCTGTATCTTCTTCAAATATTTTAGAAGTGATCAGGAATGTTAACCATCACGGTAAGGATCTAACCTAGTTACTCAGGAGGCAAAGATCAGGAGGATCGAAGTTCAAGATCAGCCTAGGCGAATAGTTTGAGACCCTATCTCGAAAATACCCAACACAAAGAAAAGAGCTGGTGGAGTGGCTCAGTGGTCGAGTGCCTGTCTAGCAAGTGTGAGGCCTTGAGTTCAAACCCCAGTGCCGCAAAAACAAAACCCTCTTTGGATTGCGCCAATGTTATTTATTCTACTTTGGGGGAAACACTTTGTAGGAGGCACTCCCCTCACACACCCATCTGTTCCTTGTTCTTTTCTTTTGTATACTCTGGGGAACCTGAGATCTTACAGCTCATTTCTTAAGTACCTCTCTACAGCTTTGTACTATAAGAGCAAAGGAAGAACAAAGTCATCTTCTGTGATTCAGGCAATGAACCGCAAGAATCTTAAATGAATCGTATTCCTTTTTGTGTCCCATTCAGTTAAGATATCCCGAAAGCTCTGGAATCAGATGACCCATCACCTCAAAAGAAAGGAACCTAGTTCCTTACAACCTCTAAAATATCCAAATCAACTCGATTGTCCCTGAGTTTTATGCGTACTGCTTCACATTCCCAAATCACTCTTTCCCCTCAGTCACACTGAGTAACAACGAGCAACACTGGAAGTATTCCTCACCTGGACTCTTTCTTTTTGGTGAGACTGGGGTTTGAACTTAGGGCTTCATGCTTGCAAAGGAGGCGCTCTACTGCTTG